GGTGAGTGACAGGATAATATTCATATGCATACAAGGAAGTCCAGTGAATACCAAAGAAATCCAAAGAAAGATGACCCAGCAGAGTATGGAAATTATCGAACAATATCATTAATATCACATGCAACCAAGATTCTGCTGAAAATGATCCAAAATCGTTTGGAACAATATGTCAACAGAGAACTGCCAGGTGTGCAGGCTGGATTTAGAAGAGGTCGTGGTACTAGGGATATTATAGCTAATGTTAGATGGATCTTGACAGAAAGCAGAGAATACCAGAAGAACGTCTATCTGTGCTTCATTGACTATGCAAAGGCTTTTGACTGCGTGGATCACAAGAAGAAGAATGGGAATCCCAGAACATTTGACTATGCTAATGTGAAACCTGTACTTGGACCAAGAGGCAATTGTCAGAACAGAGCAGGGAGACACTACATGGTTCCAAATCAAGAAGGGGGTCCATCAGGGATGTATTTTGTCTCCATACCTTTTCAATCTATATGCAGAACAGATCATCGTGTTGCTGGGGTGTACGAGGAGAAATGTGTTGTCAGGATTGGTGGAAGAGCCATCAACAACCTGCATTATGTGGATTACACAACCCTGCTTGCTGAAACTGAGGAGGACCTGAAACACTTGCTGCAGAAGGTTAAGGACTGCAGTCTTCAATATGTGTTGAAGCTCAATATCAAGAAAACAAGGATTCTCACCACTGGGCCATTTGGCAGCATCAGTATGGATGGTGAAGAGATTGAGATAGTTAACAGTTTTAGTTTATTTGGTTTCACAGTCAACACTCTAACAGCAGCCAGGAAATCAGGAGACAAATTGCATTGGGAAACTCAGCTGTGAGGGACCTCTCAAGAGTACTGAAGAGCAACAACATCAGGCAGGAGACTAAGGTGCACCTGATGTGGGCTATAGTCTTCACAATTACGTGCTATGCATTGGAGAGTTGGACAGTGAATAGGGATGATACAAAGAGAATTGATGCCTTTGAGCTGTGGTATGGGAGAAGAGTATTGAATATACCATGAACTGTAGGAGAACAAATAGATTTGTCCTGGAAAGGGTAAGGCCAGAATGCTCCTTGGAGTCAAGGATTCTGAAGTTTCGTCTGGCATACTTTTGGCATGTTGCAAGTTGGGACTTGTCCTTGGAGAGGGACATCATGGTTGGCAGAGTGGAGGAATGGCGCAGGAGAGGAAGACCCTTGATGAGATGGATCAATTTTGTGAGTGGAGTGTTGGGAATGAGTGTGTTTGACACGGCGAGGTTGGCACAGGATAGAACGGTGTTTAGGGCTCTTGTACATAGAGTTGATATGAATCACAAACTACTCGATGGCACATAACAACAACAACAACAGTTTTATTTTCATGCTTTCTTTGTTGCTGTAGAAAAACACAATTGATTTTTGTATGTTGATTTTATATCCTGCCACTCTAATACATTTTTCTACTACTAGGTCAACAATAATTTTTTTTTAGTCTTTGTGGTTTTCTGTGTACACTATCACATTACCTATGTATAGTGACTGTTTTACCACCACTTTGCCAATTTGGTTACCTGTTGTGCCCTTTTTTTTATTGTCCTAGCAAGCACTTCCTATATAGTATTGAATAAAAGTGGTGAAGATGATGGGCAGCCCTGTCTTATCCATGTTCAACATTAGTCTCTCTCTAATGAGAATGATGTTGATTCTTGGTTTTGTGAACATACTTCTCATTATGTTGAAGAAATCACCCTCTATTCCTATTTTATTGACTGGTTAAATCAGGAAGGAGTATTGGATTTTGTCAAAGGTAACAGTGGCATGTTGAAGCCTACTCTTGTTGTGTTGTTTATTTGTTTTCCTCTAGCCTGCTAACATTTTTAAATGTATTTTGCAGGTCTTTAATTAGTTGCCTAGATGTTTGCTGGAAATATGTCCTTTTGTTCTGTTTTGTTTTTAATCATTAAATAGTGGCCTTCCTTATCTCTTATGATGGTTTGGAGTGTTGTTTTGTTTGTTTGTTTGTTTGCTTGCTTGTTTTCATGCTGAAGTCCATTTTATCAGCAATTAGTATTGCCACTACCGCTTGCTTTCTTTTTTAAAATTTTTATTATTATTATTAATTTTGATGAAAATTTAGAGAGACTTTGGATTTCCATTCATTAATTGTTTCACTTTTCTCCCTGCCCACCCCTCCACCCCTTTGAAAATAAAAGAAAAATTCTTTCATTGTTTTACAATCCCTCCCCTTCTCTCTGAAAAGTAAAAGAAAAAATCTTTCACTGTTTTACAATCCCTCCCCCCAGGTGCACTCCACCATGCAGCCTTCATTCTGGACTCCTGACATGACAATAATACTTAATCATATATCCCTTTAAACAGTTCTCTCCCTCATCTGTTTCAATGCAGTATACATTATTGTACCTATCTTTCTCAGTTTCCCCCAAATCCCAAGGTCAGTCCTGTTTTACAATAGTGGCACCATGCAATATTTGTCCTTTTGTGACTGAGATATTTCACTCAGTATAATGTCTTCCAGAGTCACCCATTTTGAATAATATTGCATTAGTTCCTTGTTTTTCAATACAGCATAGTATTCCATTATGTGAATATACCACAGCTTCTCTATCCATTCGTTTGTTGATGGGCACTTAGCTTGCTTCCAACTACTTGCTCTTGTGAACAAAGCCAAGATAAACACATGTGTGCATCTATCTGCTTGGGTGGCAGTTATGGTCTCTTTGGGGTATATTTCCAGTAGTGGAATTGCGTGGTCAAATGGTATCTCGATTTGCAACTTTTTTAGAGAGCACCACACTCCACCTTCCACAGTGGTTGCACCATTTTACACTCCCACCAACAGTGAATAAGTGTTCCTGTTTCTTCACAACCTCGCCAGCATTTGTTGCTTGCTGTTCTGTTAAATTTTTATTCTTACTGGGGTGAGATGATATCTCATAGTTGTTTGGACCACTACTGCTTTCTTATGGATGCCATTTGCTTGTTATATTTTTTCCCAGCTTTTGATTTTTAGTCTTTCTTCTTGTTTCTTAAATGTGTCTCCTGTAGGCAACATATTGATATGTTTTGGGTTGTTATACGTTCTGTTACTCGTCCTCTTTTGATCAGTTCCTTTAGTCTGTTCACAGTGAGTTATGTTCATTAACAGGCCAGCTTTTATCATGACCATTCTTTCTGTTGTTCCTGGTTACTTGGCTCATCCCTTTCTCTTTGGTGTCTCTGTATGGAAAACCTCCTTTAGTATTTCTTGTAGAGCTCTTCTTGTTCTCACGAAGTCCTTAAGTTCCTTCTTGTCTACAAATGACCTAATATCTCCTTCATGTTTGATAGACAGCTTTTCTGGGTACAGGAGGAACCTTGGCTGGCAATTTTTTTTTCTGTCAGCCTTTTGTATATGCCAAATATTGTCTTATTTGCATGGTTTCTGCTGAGAAGTCAGAACTTAAATCTAATTGAGTCTTCTTTTTAGGTGACTCTGTCTCATGCTGCTTTTAATATTCTATCATTGTCTTTGATTTTGGAAAACTCGGCTATCATATGCCTTGAGGCTTTTCTTTAGGCATCTAACCTGTTTGCAGTTCACTGAGCTTCTCGAATATGTATTTCCTCCTTTTTCATGAAACCTGTAAGCTGTCCTTCTAGTAATATTTCCATCATTTTCTCCCTCCTGGTCTGAAATTCCAATAGTATGTGTATCATTTCATTTGATGTCATCCCACATAATACTTATATTTTCTCTCTGTATTTGGTGGGTTTTCCCCTTTAGTAATTTATTATTGAGGTTCTTAGTTTTTTTGTCTCATTAATTCTCTTTTTCTTCTCTTTTATATTGAATTTTTTCCCTCCAACCTGTTGAAAATTTTGGCAGTATCAGTCTTCATATTATGGATTGTGTTTTCATGCTTTTCTGTTGTTTTCTACTATTATATTCATCGTACTCCCTTTCTTTTGTGATGTTTCCTGATTCCTTATTGCTCTTAAAGTTTTAGTTCTTTCTTTCATCATTTGTAGCTTGAAAGTGCTCCCTCTCTGCTCACTGATTCCCAGAGCAGACAGGTTAGGTGGAGGCAGAATGGACTCTGGGGACCATGGAGATGGAGTATCCTCACAGATGGTCCAGGAGGCACCCTTCTTTTTGCTGGCTATTTTTTCGAGGCTGGTGGGCATAGGGGACCGAGAGGACTCATGGCAGTCTCCTGCTCCCTGAGGTCCAAAGGGTGCTTCCCTCTCTACTCTCTGGCTCTTAAGTGACCCAAGAGGCATTTTTCTCTCTGCTACCTGGTTCCTGGATGCTGGTTGTTGTTGTTGTTGTTATGTGCCGTCGAGTCGTTTCTGACTCATAGCGACCCTATGCACAACAGCCCCAAACCCTGCTCTATCCTGCGCCAACCGCACCGCCTCTGACACACCCATCCCTATTACCCCAGTCACCGAATCAATCCATCTCATAGAGGGTCTTCCCCTCCTGCGTTGTCCCTCCACCCTCCCAAGCATTATGTCCCTCTCCAAGGACCCGTCCCTCCTGGCAACATGTCCAAAGTATGTCAGACGAAGCCCCAGAATCCTTGCCTCCGAGGAGTAGCTTAGTTTAATCCTCTCCAAGACAAATCCGTTTGTTTTCCTGGCAGTCCAGGGTACATTCAGTACCCTTCTCCAGCACCACAGCTCAAAAGCATCCACTCTCCTTCTGTCCTCCCTAGTCATTGTCCAACTCTCTGATGCATAACAAGCGATTGCAAATACCATGGCCTGTATCAGGCGCACCTTAGTGGATGCTGGTGGACATGCCAAATGTGAAAATTTTTGCTAAAATGTCTCAATACCATAGCACAGTAGGAAAAAAAATATTATTGTCATCATTTGTAAGTATACCTTTAAATAATACAAGCTTTTCCTTTAAAAGTTTTTATATTTTTTAAGAACTAACATACTGCTAAATGTTTTCATACTTAACACAGTTTTGTATTTTAGGGATATTTAACCTTTCTTTAATGTTATTTTTTTTTACAGAAATGTTGAACCAGAACTGAAATCACTTGCTGTGGGTTTCCATTCACTGACTATGCGATCACTAGGTACAATAAATATAAAGATTATAGCTTTTTCATTTATTCCAAACCTCTACTGGCTGAGTGTATTTAATTTCCAATATGAAGAAGAAAAAAAACTAGTGTATGTAAGAAGCAGTTTTATGTATATAATAAAAATAAAAAATGGAGAGAAATACTGAGTTAACTGAAAGATAAGTTATTAATGTTAGTAATTTTTTCAGGAGAAAAGGAACATCATAACTTGGTTTTATTCTTTCAAACAAAAAGACAAATGGTACCTAAAGTATTTTTAAGTTCAGGCTTAGAGATTATTCTTCCAAACTACTTCTAAGTTCCAAAGCAACTAATAAGACCTTACAAAAAGATCAAATGATAATTTGTTGTTTTGTGACACCAAGTCAGAACCTATTCATAGCTGATATTTCAGTGGGTTTTTGAGGCAGTCAATCACTATCCTCCTATGAAACTGCTAGTGGATTTGAACTATGTGCTTAAGAGTTGACAGTGTTGTTCCTTATCACTGGGTCACCAAATAAACAGAACCTAACATCATTGAGGATCTCCCTTTGTTTCACTGACTCTTCACCTTTCCAAGCATGATGTCCAATTTCAAAGAATAGGACTTCCTAATAATATACTCTAAGTTTGTGAGATAGAGGTTCACCATCCTTGCCTCCAAGAAACACTCTGGCTGTACCTTTCTCCAGGATATACCTGTTGCTTCTATTGTCAGTCTATGAGATATTCAGTACTTGTCTTCAACACCACAACTACAAAGAATGAATCCTTCTGTTATCCTTATTCATTGCCCATTTCTTAGATGTGGCAAATGATTGCAGAGACCATTGCTTGAATCTGGCTCACCTTAGTCTTCAAATTGACATCATAAAAAGAAAGTCCAAAAGGGAGAAAGTCACCCATCTTCATAGGAAAAAGGAAAGAGTGAGACATAAACATATAGGGTATGAGAGCTAGAAAGTAGGATCCACTGCAGGAGTCTATGAGAGTTCTCTTATGAAGATCCTCTTCTGTTTTCTCTAATCTACACCTTACATTCACTCTCACATTCCCTTCTAACAAGGACACTTCACTCCAAGAGCATAGACTACAGAACTGGCATATGAAAATAGAATTTGAGCAGTTACTGCTCTTACTAAGTCTGCTAAAATGAATAAGAAAATAGAAAGAGGAAATTTCCCTAGTACTTAAAATAAGAAAAACTCATTTTCCCATTCTAATTGTGTGTTATGTACAAACACATATCCCAATAGACACTATTACTGTGGAAAAAATAGATACTGAATATTTTTGCAATGAAGACTGAAACTTTAAATTCACAAATGATCCTCATGAATAATATACTCTATCCTTAAACTGGAGGAACTCTCCGTGGAGTATTAAACTAGGAGAGGTATTTGGAAAATAGGATATTGGAACTTTCAAAATTCTAGTCATAGTACAGACTCTAACTTTTTAATTCCTTAAAATATTGTTGTTGATTGCCATTGAGTTGAAAATGACTCTAGCAACCCTGTGAACAAAAAGCGTGAATGAAGCCTTTCTATAACTATCGTGATTTCTCAAAGTTCATAGAGTCTCCAGAAGCATGTTATTTAGGAAGTGTACAAGGCCCTGGGTTTGGTCCCCAGCATCTCCACACTTACATGACTTCCTTAAAATAGAAGGGGGGGGATAATATCCCTTGTCACTGAAGCAGTTGAGCTTAGATTATTTTTTTCCTCCAGTGAAGTTATAATTCTGCAATCACTATACTGACTCTCCTTATCTAACCAAAATAATGCATAAACCAGTATGACATTTTTAATTTATATTGAACCCACTTCTCTCATTAGTAATCAGATATTTAATTAATTGATGTCATGAAAAGGCACACTGCCATTCTGTAGTCTTTCACCCATTTTGCATTGAGTGACGCAGTGTGAAGAAAGTATATTAAAAAAATACATCTCTGCTTTTAGCCTTTGAGATTGCTAATTATTTTGATTCTTGGGTAAATTTAGTCCAGTCCTATAATTTTTACCTTTTACTTTACTTACTAGCATCGCTTTTATTTTGACTACCTATTCACTACAACTTCAATTGTGAGAAAATAATTGTCATGTAATTGGAGTCTCTGAGGGATAGAAATTGTTGCCAGGCTGCCTTACTGACTGATTTACTTCCAAAGAAATCAACTGTTGAACACCCTTAGGAGAATAGTTCATTTCACTCTAACACACATGGGGTCACTATGGGTTGGAGTCAATGGCGTCAACTACATAGTAATTACATATGTGTCTGTGTATCTGCACATGCTCGCATATGCATATACATATACATGGCACAAAATATATTTCAGCAGTTATTTGTCCAGAAAAGTAAGGTTAAATAAAATCAATGTCCAAGTTGTTTAGAGGAAGTTCTGGTGCAATAGTCCATAAGGAGTTGTGCTGTCAACATAAAGGTGGCACCTCTCTGACAGTTCAATTCCACTAGCTGCTCTATGAGCGAAAGATGAATAACCTTTCCCTGGACAATTTACAAACTCCAAAAATTCCCTGGAAGGTCAACTATGAGTTGATCAACTCGATGGAAATGAGTTGAAGTTGTTTACACCTGTGTGAAGTGATTATCCTTTGTTTAATTCTTTGAAGAAAGATACATAAACAATAAATCAGTATTTGGTATAGGAGACATTGAACAACAAATGAAATTTCAGTGTCCCTTCATATTTTTTATCGATAATAATGGATGACATGCAAATTTGGAAGACATTCCATATTTTTATGCATAAACGTTTTCTCATTAAATGTTCAAAACAAACAAAAAGTAATAAACATAAACGAAAATAGTATAAAATGGAAATTCATTCACTTCTTGAATGTATTACTATGGAACATTACATAGTTAACTTTGAAATGTCTTCCTTGGGTTAATATGTTCTCATCTTATGCTGCAGGAGGAATTCTAGCCCCCATATATTTTGGGGCTCTGATTGATAAATCATGTTTGAAGTGGTCGATCAACAGTTGTGGAAAGCAAGGCAGTTGTAGAATATATGATTCCAAATTATATGGGTAAGTTCTTCTATGCGTATATCATATTAATTTCTATAATTAGTTGATAATAAAATTACTAAAGCACAAAATGTACTTTTCAGTATAATAGTAATAATAATAGTAATAGTAATATAGTCACCACTTAGTAAGGGCAGAGTTCTAGTGGCCTCATGAATAACGAGTTGTGCTGCCAACCCAAAGGCAGGAAATCTAATCCATGAGCTTCTCCTCAGGAGAAAGCTTGTCAGCCTCTTCTAGTATGGTTTACAGCCTCTGAAAAACTCATTGGAGGATCAACTTCAAGTTGATTTCAACTTGATGACATGTAACAACAATAGAGAAAGCAACTGGGTTATATTTATTTCAATACTCATTGAAACTATTATTGTAGCATACCATCAAGTTGGAACTCACCCATAGCTGACATTCTAGCCTTTTTCAGAGGCAGTTAATTGTACCAGAGGTTATTATTTCTCATCTTTCTACCACAGAGCAGCTAGTAGATTTGAACCATGTGCCTCTGGGTTGCCACCACCACTCCTTACCACTAGGACACTAGAGCTCCTGTAGAAACTGTAGGTAATGGATAGCTTTTCCTATTTTCAAGTGAATTAGTAACTTACTCAAAGTTACATTAAACTGTGCTGACTGCTCTCAATTTTTTCCTCAAAATAACAAAAAAACAAAACTAATTAAATGGTCTAGGTTCTTTAAGAAGACATATAGTGACCATTTGCAGGGGATGGAAAGGAGAGAAAAGAGGCAAGAGGGTTTCTATAATCTTCTGTTCCTCTGGAAAACCAGAAATACCATGAGGATTACTGAATGGAAAGCTAAAAAGTGAATTGTAATAATTTCAGACCAAAAATATAACTACTTATAATAGAAATCAATAGCATAGTTTTAAAAAATGGTATAAATTCTTCTTATTATCTAGAAACAAGTAACTGTGTCTAAACCCTAAAACTATAATAGAAAAACCTCTGATAAGGATTTTTTTTCAGCAGCACATCACAAAACTATATCTAAGTTGAAAGACAAATTTAAAAGAAGCATAATTTGCAACCAAAAAAGGAGGGAAGGTACAAATGTCCTAAATTAAAGAGCTGCCAAAGTCTAAAGAAAATTTTCAACATTTCTCAAAGAGAAAGAGCTGCTTGTGGATAATAACTATAAAAAACTTCACTATAACCTAACTGCGAATTAAAACTCATTCTAAGATTTCTTTCCATCACTGGTCCATCAGTTTGCCCTAGTGGTGGCTTTCCTGTTGCTGTGATTCTGGAAGCTATGCCACTGGTATTTCAAACACCCGTAAGGTCACCAATGATGAACAGACTTCAGTGGAACTTTCAGATTAAGACAGACTACAAAAGTAGGATGAGTCACTAACAAGGTCTTGCAATCTTATTGTTCAGCACAGTGCTGGAAGATGAGTCCCTAGAGTTAGAATATACTCAAAGAGAGCAGGGAAAGAACTGAAACTTTTTGTATACTTTGGGCATGATGTCAGGAAGGACTAGTCCTTAGAAAAGACATTATGCAGGGAAAAGGAGAAGGTTAGTGAAAGAGAAGGCCTTCAATGAGAGGGACTGACAGTGACTTTAAAATGGGCTTAAGCATGGATGAGATCATGAGCATGGGGCCTGATCAGGCAAGGCTTTGATCGAATGCTCATAGGGTCACTATGAATCATAGTTGAGTCAATGGCACCTAACAACAAGAATAGTTTATTGCATATCTACTGGAAGCAACAAAAGTAAGGGTGAAATGTATGTGAAAGCTTTGTTTAGCTTCCTTTTGTCATTTTTAAGACAACAAAATATCCAGTTGAAATTTTGGTAGATTCAATATTTTAAAATGGTATCCTGAACTTCATTTAAAAATAATAATTATTCAAAATAATTTTAATAAAGTTAATATTTTAGTGTTATTTGTTAATTTTCTCCGCTTCCCCTCCCTAGTAACTATAACAGAATGATTCTATCTTTGTGTAAAACTAGCTTTTTATGATAGCAGTGTTCCACAATATTCATCATTTTTGTGAATAATTATAATGTATTCTAAATATCAGAAAGCATCAATGTAAATTGTTCCACGGAAGTGAAAACGACTTTTTTTTCTATTATTTCTCTTTTCACAGAAACTATTTCTTCGGCTTGATGCAGGGCTTATCGTTAGCATCAATTGTTTTCCTTAGTTCATATTTATATGTCATGAAAAGAAAACATCAAGGAAAAGGTACAAAGACAGAAAATGGAGTGAAAATGAATGAAGCAAGCTTAGAACCCTTAAACAACAATGGACATTTTGTATCTTCTGTCAAAGAAGATGGTGAAACACCTAATTAAGGAGAGAAAAATCTGCTGATCTATTTACAGCCAACACTGCTTTAATCAATGAGAATGTTAGTTATAAGCAGAAGTTCCTTCTCTTTTCACTGAGAATGACCACATGCTAATGATGGAAAAATTAATTGCCTGTTTGTGAATTTATAATGAAACAAACTTTATATGAAAAAGAATATAAATCATTTTTTCCAACTTTTTTGTATTGAGATTTTAATGAAAGTTTATAGGAAGTTTGGATTTCTATTCATTCGTTGTTGCACATTTTCCTCCCTGCCCACTCACCCCTCAGAACACTTTTCTCTTTAAAAAAATTTTTTTCATTGTTTTATAACACCACCAACCACCACCCCCACCGCCCCAACCCCCGCCACTTAAATGTGCAGCTCTTATCAAAAGGGCTGAACTCACTCAGCATTTCTTAAGCTCAAGGAACTGAAGAACAAATTCAAACCTAGAGTTGCTATAATCAAGGATGCTTTGGCCAGAATATTAAATGATCCAGGAAGTATTAAAAGAAGATGGAAGGAATATACTGAGTCATTGTAT